GGAGTGATCATTTTTCATTTATGGGACTATTTTTCTTGTGGCAAATTATCCTCAAATTGTTCTGAATAATTGGAAAGGCTCTTATTTAATTTTGTGCCACCATAAACCAGGGCTGTCCACAGTTTCCTCACAAAGGGCCAGTTATTAAAACATTTCTGAAGAGGAGAGCCACAGACTGATGGTCAGTACAGTGACTCATTCAAATGGATGCTTTTAACACAGCTTTGAAAGAGCTCCTGTACCTTTATTCAAACAGCCCCATTGTGCTTGTGTCTGCTCTATGCTTCTACTCTCTGACCCCCGGGGATCAGTTTGATCATTTGCACATTTTAAATCATAATATTCATCTAAAATGACTTCATAAAAGAAACAAGTCAAGACTTCCGCATCTTGAAACTGTGCACTGTCACAACAAAACATGCTGTGGGCCCCTCTTGTGTGTGGACCCCTCCTGTGTGTGGACCCCTCCTGTGTGTGGACCCCTCCTGTGTGTGGGCCCCTCTTGTGTGTGGACCCCTCCTGTGTGGGGGCCCCTCCTGTGTGTGGGCCCCTCCTGTGTGTGGGCCCCTCCTGTGTGGGGGCCCCTCCTGTGGAAATCTGCATGTCACACTAGTAAGCAGAAGATTTTAAAAAATTCAACCAAAATGACAACAGATAGTATATAGGATGAATTGTATGTGTTTGACTGATTAAGAAAATCAAACTGGAGAATAAAGTGTGTACGTCACACGTGCTGAAAAGAGGAGCTGTTCAGCAAAATGGATTCCTGAAAACGTGCGATTAAAAATGAGTCAAATACGCACAAACCACTCTGAATATAACTTCAGAGGGTCAGGGAGAAGAGGAAAAAGCTCTAACACGGTTAAAAGCTCTGAAAAATCATAATAATAATAAGTCATACATAATGGTTCTGCTTTAAGACTTGGACTATTCATTTTCTTTATTGTTACTCTTTATTGTTATGTGACGTTAGTGAAGTTGTAGTGCTACAAATACCGACATTTGCTGGAAAATGTTCACCGCAAGGCCTGACAGCTGCATATGTATATATATATATATATATATATATATATACACACACACACACACACACACACACACACAAAACAGTAAATGATGGGGGGTCCTCCACCTGTCTACATGGAGATGCAATCGCTCTATCAGCAATATTCCACAGTATAGCATTAAATGCATCCTTTGCATTGCATTCATTCAATTACATATGGCTTCATAACAAAGAAAATCTTTGAAAAGCAAATATTCTCATTCATGTATGCTTGTAAACATGGAGATGAATAAACTAATGCCATACTGTGCAACATCTCCAGCAATAGTGTTTCCATGAAGACAAGCAGCCACAATATTCAGGGTACAGTTATTGCTTTAGATTACCTGCAGTTTAAATGAAGTCCTGACTTCAGCTGCTTCTAGAACTGCAGAAGTTTCTTATACATGTCACAGAGATCATGTGAAAGTGACGTGTGACATTTGCAGCATGAGCAGGCCTCTGTCTCTACTCACTCATTAGTGTGGTTACATCACAGCAGCGTGCTAACATCTCCAGAGTCTACTGCTGACATTTATGAGACTCCAAAGGACACATCTGCACCAGGTTTATCTCATGGACCTGCTGTCCAGTGTGTTACACAAATGTCCAGTGTGTTACACAAATGTCCAGTGTGCTACACAAATGTCCAGTGTGTTACACAAATGTCCAGTGTGCTACACAGATGTCCAGTGTGTTACACAAATGTCAAGTATGTTACATAAATGTCCAGTGTGTTACACAAATGTCCAGTGTGTTACACAAATGTCCAGTGTGTTACACAAATGTCCAGTGTGTTACATAATGTCCAGTGTGTTACACAAATGTCCAGTGTGTTACATAAATGTCCAGTGTGCCACACAAATGTCCAGTGTGTTACACAAATGTCCAGTGTGTTACATAAATGTCCAGTGTGTTACATAAATGTCCAGTGTGCCACACAAATGTCCAGTGTGTTACACAAATGTCCAGTGTGTTACACAAATGTCCAGTGTGTTACATAAATGTCCAGTGTGTTACATAAATGTCCAGTGTGCCACACAGTGTCCAGTGTGTTACACAGATGTCCAGTGTGTTACACAGATGTCCAGTGTGTTACACAGATGTCCAGTGTGTTACACAGATGTCCAGTGTGTTACACAGATGTCCAGTGTGTTACACAGATGTCCAGTGTGTTACACAGATGTAGAGGTCCACATATGAGGCCACGCCCTCGGCTGCACGGATCCTCATCTGACTCTTGTATTTGTGGACATGCACAAATCCTTGATGAAGATGAGAGTGAGAATACTGTTACAGAAGGTCATCCAAAAGTGTCCAGGCCTCCTTGTCAGTGTCTGATCTCATTGGGGCTGAGCCTGGTTAGGACTTGGAAGGGAAACCGCAGTGAATAACAGGAGCCACAGTGGGGCGCCACTCATTGAGTCCTTTACACAGAACACGTCACCCATCTGGCCTCATATGAAAAATACATTATTCTTACTGTAGAAAACAACATCTGAGTGTACAAGATACTACAGTGTGCATGGAACAAAGACACAAGAGCGTGTTTTGAGCCCTTAGCAAACACACTTGTTCAAAGCACTTCAGCCGCTCACATGAAGCACTACAGTGTCTGTACACGCTCCACTCTGACAGCTCTCCAGAGCAGCTGATGTTTGCTGTGTTTGCATGTGTCATTCATAACTCCACATGAATGACACGACTGCAGGACTGTTCCTCATTCACGCTGACACACAATTTTACAACACTAAGTCACAGAATCCAAACACTAGTCTCATAAGCAGATTACACGTCCCTGTTGAACAGCCCATCAAACCGAACATGGCTAACCCTTGAATTTCCATTAGTATTTGAACACGGCACAGTTTTAGTGATGCATAAAGACAGAGGAGGAGACCACAAAACCAAAGCGTGGTGGATTATGGTCCCACTGCAGCAGATGTGCTTTAGAACAATAACGATCAGCTATTATGGGCACCGCTCATATTCTGAACTCCTCTCATCACTGTGAAAACACTATTAAAACACTATTCAACTGCACTGAAGCCACTGTGTGTGTATGATGGCACAGAGGAGCCTGGACAATCAAGACTACAACATTTTCATGTAAAATACATAATCTCTGGCCTAGTCTGGGCCTCGGTCTTATCTCTCCAAGTGAAGATGTACATGATTACAGGTGAATTAACCAATCAAAGAAGCACATGGTCCACTGGCTCAAAACAAACATGGTTACTTATAAAAAGAAAAGAGAGGAAGTACTGTAGACTTCTCCCAAATTCATAACTGAAGTTCTAAACTCTGAGGTCATGTTCACAGTGTCACATGTGAGATGACGAGTAAAAAAGCCTTTGGTCTGAGAGCGGTGCTTGGGCCATTGTGAACAAGACAGTCACATTCTGAAGCTTCAAACCAGAGGTCTGAGATCAGCTCCTCTTTCTGTGGAATGGGTGCAGAGTGAACATGGCTGACCTCCACAGTCTGCAGTGCACTTAAATGCAAGACATTTGGTAAAAGCGCTCGGATCACAAATGCAGAGCTGCTGTTTGACAAGTTTGTCTGACAAGACAATTCAGATCAAGTTAATCTGGTCATGATCTTAATCATCTTAATACACGTCTTCTCCTGCCTCTGTCTGCGCAGGTGACCCTGGGTCTGTCTGCGCAGGTGACCCTGGGTCTGTCTGCGCAGGTGACCCTGGGTCTGTCTGCGCAGGTGACCCTGCCTCTGTGTGCGCAGGTGACCCTTGGTCTGTCTGCGCAGGTGACTCTGGGTCTAGGTAAATATCTGTTCAGTATTTGTCCAATCATAAAAGTGGTGTATTGTGCACAGTGAGCACAGAGTGTGGAGCAGGAGCAGACTCAAACAGAGACAGTGCTGCGTGCCAGTGCAGTTCCTCCTTGTTTACACTGTGATGGAGTAAATATGAACAGAAGCGACATCTGCAGCAGCCCGCGGTGATCTATGGCTGCTCAGCTCCGTTTAGCATCACTTGTGGGAGATAATTGGTCGGCAAAACGCGCTAATTAAAGGGGAATGGCCTTGTTTATGGGCTGAGATGCTCATTATGAGGAGAGATGCACTTGGGTGACAGCAGCCCTCCCTTTAACGACGGGAAGGTCCAGTGTGTGTGTGTGTGTGTGTGTGTGTGTGAGTGTGTGTGTGTGTGTGTGAGTGTGTGTGTATGTGACTGATAATAAACATGAACACACACATTTTAGAGAGTACAGCAGTGGCAATGTAAGTAAAACTTTTGAAGCACACAACTGTGGAAATGCAGATGTCAGATTTCCACAGTGTGCAGCAAATGCAAAGTTTGTCACAGTGTTCAGCAGTGTTAATGTAAATGTAATACTCCCACTGTGTATGGTGATGGCACTGTGCCATTTTACAGTGTATAACAGAAGTACTTTAACATTTTATTGTAGGTAATGCAAATATATAATTTTACAGTGTACTGCAGTAGTAATTTGAGTATAACTTTTTACAGTGTATAGCAGTATTAATGTGAATATGACTTTTTACAGTGTACAGTAGTGGTAATGGCTTTACTCATATTGCAGAGGTAGTTACTTTTTTGCTGAGTGTAAATGTAAATAGAAACATTTCTGTGTGTAGAGCTCTGGTAAATGCTCTGTCTGTGATAAGTTCTTTTTTACTGTTGCACTCGTGTTCTGTGGTCACTTTTTTATCAGTGTTCAGCAGTGATCGTGAAAACACAACTTTACAATGTTCAGCCATGGTCACAGTGTGAAGCTTGAATCAATGATCTGGTGTTGACTGGTCTGCAGTGTTCCACAGGCTTTTGCAGTGTTCAGCAGTAGTGATGTAAACAGATATTTACAGTGTGTATAAGAGTACTTTGTTTCCCCATATACAACAGTAGCACTTGTAGTACTTGTAGTACTTGTAGTACTTGTAGTACTTGTAGTACTTGGCTGTGTAGTCCTACCTCTCGGCGTCTTGAGGCCCAGCAGGTCTGCTTGATCTTCCACAGCACAGCGGCCCCCAGCAGCAGAGACAGGAAACAGCTGAGGACACAGAGAGGACGCACATGGACTCAGACTGAGCAGCGTCAAAGGAACATCTCTGTGAGTGAGGAGGACTTCACACAATTAACTCCACAATCAGAACAAAACTGAGACTAAACCACAAACTAAAGCCAGACTACACCACGAGTGAACCAGGACCAAACCAAGTCTACACTGTTTACACACTGTTTACATGAGTACTGATTTCAAACTATGTTAAATATATAACATTTGTTTCTATTATCTTAAATATTCCTATTCAGCCAGTATAAAATAATAAAAAGTTAATCAGTTAACTTAGTTTTTTTCACACAAAAATTTTGTATGAATGCTTGTGTTAATGTTTGTGTTAATGTATTACAGCTTTTTTTTTTTTTTACATCTTCAGCAGATCAGTTGAAGACTACTGTATTGTTCCACCAGGAGGATGTGCTCTCATCATAAGACTCATTTCCCTTTCAGAAAAGATGAGCAGAAACACAGCCACAGTCTGACCACATGACCACAGAGCGCCGTCCTGGGAAACTTTACTGCTCCATCATCACCACTTCCTGTGTCCTGAGCAGAGGCACAGAGAGAGGGACCAGCCAGCGGAGGGGACAGAGGACAACAGATCACCACACTGACCACAGACCACAGGGGAGGAGGGGGTGAGGGAAAAGGGGGGAGAGCAGAGGAGAGGAGGGCGCGAAGAGGGGGGAGGAGGGGGAGAGATGCTCCAGGACAAAATACAAGTGTGATGGTCCCTCGTCCTCTGTCAGCGTCAGTGTCCACAGGCTGAGATCCTGCACAGTGCACTCCCTCACACTGCTCCTGATGAACACTGAGCGATGGACTGAGAGACTAACAGTACTAACAGTAACTAGCATGCTAACATGAACTCCCTGATTGTCAGACAATAAAACTTTTTACAGTTAGATGCAAACATTACACAGGTGACTTATTCTGACCTCAGCAGCTGCTTATACAATAAATCTGTACTGGGAAAGCCATTTTACTCAGATGCATGTGACAATCAAGCTCACAATGAGGAAATGTGCTGTTTTATTACTGCTGTGCTTTTCAAAAGATGCAGTATTTCACTTGTACAATGTGTATAAAGCCTTGTAGTTGTATAGTCTGTATAAAGTCTTGTAGATGTATTGTATAGTGTGTGTAAAGTGTTGTTGTTGCACAAACTGCAGCAGAGGTGCACACTGTGTGAAAACTGCATATTTATGTGTCATGTGCTAAATGAACACTAGGCCTTATAAACCTGCAGCTGCTTTTTGCTCTGCATTCTGCATTTTAAGAATAATACACCTTTTGTTTTCATGTTCTGTGCATTTGACTAACCTTTCAGTTGGACGCGTACCGCCTGCAAATATGTACGAGTGAATATTCAGTGACATGTTCCCATAATCCTCTCTCATGTAAATAGTCAGCCCCAGAAGCAAGAGCTGTCACACACAAAGCCTCCTCTGAACGCACACGAATCAAACACACCCTCACAGTCAGACCACAGGACGACTGAGGACGGCAGCTCGGACACTGGACGCTCTGTGTGAGAGACAGAAGTGTCTCACAGTGGGACGTGGACAGGACTAACGCGGACAGGCCGAGGAGGATGAGACACTATAAAGATATGCTAAGAAATCTGATGAATTATTCACAACAGGGATAGTGCACCAAAGTCCAAGAACAGCAGCAGAACAATAAAAAATACAAATAAATAAATAAATGATTAGATAAGATTAAAAGTTGGCAATAAAACTAAACTATTAATTCTGAAGAAAATTAAAGATACACTATGCAACTTGCTTGTTTCCATGGAGATGTTTTTGTGTGGTCCTGCTGTATTTTATTGAGAATGAACCTTGGCTAAAGTGTAAACTCATGAAACATGTGTTTGCCTGTCAAAAAGCATACAGAAATAAAAAGAAACTATTTCATTAAAGCTACAATATGTAACTTTTCTGAACTATATTTCCATGGAAACAAAAAGGAGAGAAGGAGGAAGCCCCTCCTCCACACCAAATAAGAGTCAGGTTTGTGGAGCTGCACGGAGTTATGATTTTCAGTTTTTGGCTGGAGTTTCTGAAAAACTACAGAGGATTTGCATCCTCATTAACATGAAATCCCAGACTATTTCAAACCTACAAACACTTTAAGACAGAAACTGGTCCAGCCAACGGACAAAACACTGAGCCACAATCAAAAGAGAACAACACAGGACCTCAGTCTGCCGTACATTTCGTACATCTCCTAAAACCCGCGGGGCACTCCTCTGAGGACAGTGAGGTACAGATCTGAGCCAGAGAAAAGAATTGGTTTGAGAGGAGATTTAAAGAAGCTATTTCTGTTAGGAATCCTTCCTTAAACAGAAAAGGAGGCCTCAGACATCATTTGTCTCCCATTTATAACTCTTACATCCTCAACCCTAAATCAAAACAAAACAAAGAAATCAATAGGGATAGCCAGGGCAGGCGCAGGGGTGTGAAAGCTCCAGTCTCGCCCTGAATGATTCTGCGAAAATAAAAGTGTGTGTGTTAGTTTCAGAGTAGTTTCAGTGTAGTTAGCTCCTCCCTTCAGGCAGTTATAAAGAAGTATTCACCAGCGTCTGACCAGAAATGAAGAAGCAGGTTGGATGAACTGTGAAATATATTCAACTAAAATAAACTTTTGTCCAGTTGACATTGGATTTCTCCTTTTGCCATGTGTCCCTATGTTTGTTCAGAGCAATAAACACAACCACAAACAAACAAAAAACAAGCTTCAACTTCAGTTTAATTTTCGCCTAAACTACTACATACTGTGACTTTAAACTATCATCATGGAGACAATAAGGAGGTGCCACAAGCCAAGTACAGGTCAGATCTCTGCAGAGGTGTCCTCCTCCCACAGGATTTTAAAATACAGTTAAAGACTAATGACATACTGTGGAACTTTCCAGCCAAAGCAAAAACATGTCAGTGGAGACAAGCAGGTAGTGGACCTTCTACCAGAATAGTTTGACAGTGCATCTTTAAGATACAAAATAGTAGGGCTGGGCGATATGGAGCAAAAAATATATCTCGGTATATTTTGTTATATCTCGATATATGATATATATCTGGATATGTGTACAGGAAAAATAACTCCCTAAAACTACTGTAAAAACTAATCTGTCAAATAATTCCACAAGGTCTTTTTTATTAAAGTGCAAGAGGCAGTTCATTTGGGAACAAAGAGCTTCTGCCACATTTAAGATTACAAAAAATACCTGATTACATAATTAATAATTTAACTGTAAAGTAAAAGAAATAATACATAACCTTCACATACACATACATAATCCTTCTTTTCATTCATAAATAAAACTCAAGCTCATCTTTGCATTAACTCTGATAACCATGAGCTCCATTAACAGAAGAAGCTCAGGAGGTTCTTTATTTGAACAGATCCATGTTCCTCACCAGTGTAAGGAGCTCTGAGGTTTCCCACAATGCACTGCACATCAAACCCAACATTTAAAACACTATTGTACAAGTGACACTGCAGCAGATTATTGATTAAAATCTTCTGCATAAATACATTTTACAACATATAAACCATAACGACTCTAGAGCAGGGGTGTCCAAACTTTTTTCATCAAGGGCCACATATGTAAACACAGACAAAGCAGAGGGCTGATCGAGGGCCGCAGACTGGTGCTCAATACAGTGAATAACTGAAATGTGTGCATGTTTAACACGTTAGAATGAGCCATCAGTCCTTTATTCATGCTAAGATCCTTAAAACCACACACTAAATATGAAATATTAGCTTTATCAAGGTAGATTTTTAAAAACTTGCAGTAAAAAAATATTTTTTAATTGATTTAAGGTCATTTGGGCCAATTCACCTGGAAGTCTGAGGGCCAAGAAAAATTTGTCTGAGGGTCGCATTTGGCCCCCGGGCCATAGTGTGGACATGCCTGCACTAGAGCCACATCAGCCCGTTTGTGATTATAATGTGTTTAATTCAGTTTTGCCACGTGTTTTACTGAAACAAAACGTAAAACCACATGACTTATTTGCATAAACAGCTCACTCCTCATGCCGCTCATGTGGTTCAGCTTCTTTCGGACTAAAGGACACGACTCAGTGGAATATGAGGATGTGCTGCTGATGGTCTTGTCTGTAAATGGTGGACAGATTTTGTGGTGCTAGAAGCTTTTCTTTGGCACCAAATTTGGGTGTTCACAGCGATAATGAATGAGACAGAAGCAGCAAAATCAGGGAGGCATATACGATATGTCAGAATCCATACCGAGTTTAAGAAATATCTCGATATATTTAAAATATCGAGATATCACCCACCCCTACAAAACAGTGTAGAACAAAGAGTGTAACAGTAGAGCAGAGTGTCATTAGAGACTGGACGTTGTGGTGATACCTGTGGAAATGAGCCTTCACTTCACAGAGCTTTAAACATGTCCAGCAGCATTAGCATGACAAAGAGGCGAGTGCAGGGCTGCAGCTTTCACACATAATGAGACGTCGTCCTGTGAGCGGGACATTACCGGCTCCAAATAATGACGCCCTAATTCTGACCGTTTCTGTTTAATTGCGGTTATTTTAAAGGTCCATTTAGGAACAGAGGTCTGAAAGTAAAGAGCAGAAAACGAGAACACGGACAGAGTTTAACTGGAAACTCCATCACCTCCAGCTCAGGACACATGAGAGACAGGAGACAGGACAGACAGAGGAGAAACAGAAGAGACAAGAGACAGATGACAGGAGAGACAGAAAAGACAAGAGAGACAAGAGAGACAGAAGAGACAAAATAGACAGAAGGAGAGACAAAAAAGACAGAGAGAGACAGAAGAGACAAGAGAGAGAGACAGAAGAGACAAGAGAGACGACAACAACAACTCACCCACTGCACCAAACTATAGCGGGACAACAACTTACCTGTATTAACAGATAATACTCCCTACAACTGTACAACAACTCACCTGTATGTAACAGATAATACTCCCTACAACTGTAGAACAACTT